GACATAGGTTTTGAAACTATGCTTTAATCTTAGACTAGTTTTGATATGTCAAAATAGTTTTGGAAACCAACACTAATTTAGACACATTAAAAAAAAATGCGTAAATTGTGAGATATATGAAAAAAATTTATATGACGCACTTAGATCCATTACCGAACTTAATGACTACAACGATGCTCTACGATCAAAGATCCACCTACAAAGAAAAGATTGCATTTGATTTGCTAGAAATAAATAAAAGGTAGACTAGTTGGTAGATAATAGATGTCGATTTTTAGCTAAGTTCTTTTCTTTTCTTTTCTCTTCTTGCTTAAGTCGGGAGATAATATCTGAAGTAGAATTAAGTTTATTAGATATGTTTTTTATAAGGTTGTTAGAATTGATTGACGATGGGGCACTATTGGGAATTGGTTCAGAAATATGAACGGGTTTGAATTCCTTTTTTATTTGCATATCAAAAGAATTATTGTTCTGTAAATCCGATTTGGAATATATCATCTGTTGTTTGCGTAATGGTAAACCTTTGGCATGTCTTTTCCAAATTTCATACACTCGGCGAGTTGACGTTTTATATTTATCTGCCATTGTTTTAGATGCATTTTTAATACTCCCTCTAGATTGAATGATTTCTTCGATTGCTTCTGGTGGTAAATAAGGTGTACCAGCACGGTAATATTTCACTGTTATACATTCAATTTTCTTTTATAATTATAAAAAACTATTGAAAATTATCGAAAATTATCGAAAATTATCGAAAATTATCGAAAATTACCGAATATAACAGAAAATTAATATTAATATTAATGATTATCGAATCTTACCGAAAATTATCGAAAATTATCGAAAATTATCGAAAATTATCGAAAATTACTGAAAATTATTACCGGAAATTATAAATATATTTCTTTTTCCAATCAATATTTTGAATTTGATTATATGGCCAATGTATTTACCTTGCAAGACATCAATCCAGATACAAAATATTCAGCTCCACAGAAAGGGTATCGACTTGGAAGTGCTCGTGAAGAAGAACTTGAAGAATTTCTATCTCGTAGTGTAAATTCCATTTCTGAATTAAATGATTGTAATGAAGCATTACAGAAAAAGTATTCCGATCAAGAGAAAAGTTTCAAACGGGAAAGAAAGACTTGGTCTCTAGAAAGAAAAGATTTAAATCGTGAATTGACACAAAATAATAATGAACTCCAGAACTTACGTACCCAGGCTTTGGAATTTGCCAATATCGATAAGCAATTACGAAGTGAAAATATTAATCTAATTTCTAGGAATACTCAGAAGGATCGTTATCTTGCGGATTCTAAAGCCGAAATTATTGCAAAGACAAATGAAATAATATTGCTTCGGGGAAGAATAAAGTCATTGAACGGTAAGTTAGATTTATCCCAAAAAAAAATGGAAGAGGCGAATTATCTCCAATCTAGAATAAGGTTATTGAAAGAGGAATTATTTTCAGCCCAGAAGGGATCATTACTAAAAGATTCCGAAATATTTTCTCTCCAGTCTAAAATAACTGAATTGGAGCAAACAAAAGATGAATTGGATCAAAAAAAAGATGAATTGGCGCAAATGAAAGATGAATTATCTTTAAAAATCGGTGAGGTGGAACGTTTAAAATCAGATAAATCAATTGTTGGAGGTAATGATCCTCAAGAAAACAAAATGAATTCTCAGGATGAAAAAAATCTTCGTAAATATTTACGTAAAGATATTCTAGAAAAAACTAGCAAAGCTAACACGACTAAAATGCCAGAAGTAAACTCAGAACTATCCAATTTAATAGGTGATACCGATTCTTCATGTAAAGATGACACGTTACAAAATATCGAGCCAATGAGGAATATGAATCCTGAAGGAAATGTAACTCCGCAAGTTGCAAAACAGATAAACGTTCCCAACTCCTCTTTGGATAAATCGAATTCCGAGCTTTCAATGGGAGGAATAGAAGCAATTCCTGCTATGGCAAGCGTTTTAGGTTCGCCAAAAATTCCATGGCTGATGATTACTTTATTGATTATTATTGTTATATTGGTTAGATTTATTTGACCTATATTGAATGCAAATAAAAAAAGTGAAACCGGGATTTTACGTGAACGAATAACTAGAAATTTATTATCTATTTGAATCTAAAAAATTTTTAATGTATAGAAAATATAATTAAGTATTTACAATATCGAGAATGGTAGTCTGCTTATATCAAATCAATCCCCTTATTCCACGTATTTAGAAAACTGTCAAGTAGTAGTCGATCAGCTTCTAATATGCATGGCAAAGTGGGTCGCTCGGTTACCATTTCATTTTTTCTCATAGTTTCTGGTGTACCGATTTTTTCAGGTATAGAAATGTGCTCTTTATATCGCATATGATATACTAACTTATGGAAGAATATATCATATTTTTCAATGATTTTAATTAACGTGTCCAAGTGTTTCACAAAACCAGAACATATAGATTCTTTTATCTTGTCATTTACTGAGATGTTTTTAGCGGAGCTAGTTTCACTATTTTGTGTAGATGATTTCGCATATTCTATAAACCTTTCCCATAATATTTCTACAGGATCATATACCTTAAAGTATTCGAAAGATAACCAATTACCATGAAATATTTCATATGAATCGCCTATCTCCTGATGTAATATATCTCGTGCTTTTTTAACGGCATTCTTGTAAGCACGTTTATATGCAGGTCCACGACCGGATATCATTTTAGGAGTAACCCCATTCAATCCATTTACATATTCTTCGAGCCATTTTTCTGAGAATAATCATCGATCCGTTTATATTTTTCATCCGGATCTTCAAGTTTCATAATTTTATCAGAAGAGGATGGTTGGTATCTATCGTCATACATGATAAATCGAGCGCAAAGTCCAACAATATCATCCCGGAAATAATATAAGTAATCTAACTCCTTTTCAAGTTCCTTTGCTACATCAACAAATTCCATTAGGTCTCCTTTAGTTGGATGCAACCTTTTACCGGATAAATCGAAATCTGTATCAGCCTTGGTTACTACATAGTTGAAGCGTTCGCCTGGATCAGGAATTTTATTTTTGTAAAGTTTATTCATTCGTTTCATGAAACGCTGAACTGGTGGATTTTGTACATTGGGTTTCCATGTATAAGTTTTGATAAATTGTTCATATTTCCATTGCTTGGGATCTAAAATTGCTTCTCTGATAACATCTTCAATGATTTTATGTAACGTTCTAGTGTTCTCTATTTCCATAGTTTCCCACATGATTCGCTCACCAATATCTCTAAAAAGCTTAGATTGGCCTTGTTTTACGGTATCTATACCTTTTATAAATAGTTTTTTGGGTTTAAAGTTTGGGACATCTACATGCGGAATTCCAAAATATTTTTTTCTTTCCGGTAAATACTACTGGAAATAAAACTTCTTCATATGCCATTTTAAGATAAGTTGATCTACTTTTTAATCTAAGATATGTATTAACATTATCACGTAATTTTTTCATTACATCCATTGTGATTTCAACCATTTTGGACCAATATTCTAGCTTTGAGGTTGCCCCTTTACCGTTATTATAGGTGAGATCACATTCCTTATATTCTTTTTCGGGACAAGTTAGATATAAAGAATCGGTGTCTCCATATTTGATTTTAAATCCTTTCTTTTTTACATATTCTGCAACGAGTTTGATATTATACTGCCCGGCTGATGTAACGCCTCCAGCAAGTTCTCGTTTAAAGAAAGGCGAAAGGGTGTTTCCTGCTTCGCCATAAAAGGTATTCATATACAATTTTACTGCTTTTTGTTTTGAATCTAAGCAATTGTAATTGAAACAAACCGAATCATATTCTTTCATAAAATCAGTACGGTTTTCATTAATGAAAGGAATTAGAATTTCAGATAGCATAATATGGTTCTTTTCATCTTTTGAATTTTTTAAGATATGACTGATAGAATCTGTTACTGATAAGTTCTCCTCTTTTAATTTATTAATTACTAATTTCATGTAGTCTTTTCTCTTACGAAGCAATTCTAATTGAACCTTCATCTTATTTCGTTTATTAAGAAGATCCTCTAAAACTTCTGGATATAATCCTTTTTTATCTGTTTTATTTTCATGTCTTATAGACCAGGCACGTAAAATTCGGTCATTGAAATGAAATTCGATTTCATGAAGAGATTCTTTTTCTTCCTTTAGTGTATCGGCTTCTTCGGATGTTGAAATCATTTTATCCGGTGAGAGGTTATAATTCATAATAATACTTGGATATAAAGAAGCAAAATCCAAACCTGTAACCGGGCGTTTATTTTCCAGACCTTTTTCTGGAGGAAATACATAAGCTCCGGGAAATTTTCCAGATTCCGTTTGTTTAGAAGCAATCATAGTAATCAATATATCTCTTTTCCATGCTTCAGCACCTAAGAGGTTACGTACCTTCATACCTCCAGCGTAATAGTGTGAATCAAATAAAGATACATAAGCTATAGAGGCCACTTCTCTGTAATCATTTACTACATTACGAGTAATCATGAGTTTTTGACAAGATATAGAGTCAACAATACAATACTTTGCAATCTTATGTATATTTTTACTGGTTTCAGTTGTGGTAATTTTCTTGCTTTTCTCATAATAAATTCTCATATCTTTTATCGGCATATCTATTTTACTACCGAGATCATATTTTTTTAAGTAATAGTCAAGTGAATTTTTCTCAGATTGGGGATGGAGTTTTTTATAACATACTATCACGTCAATTGGAACACAACCCGAAAATTTAAGGAAACTGGATTTGAATTCTTTTTCTGAAGAGATTTTAATTTCGACACATTCCCGGTTTTTGATTTTTTTAGCCGTGCTAGCTTCGCTATTATTATCTGTATCTTTCTTTTTTCCAAAATTTCTGGTCCATGATTGCTCTTCATGGAAGAAATCTTTATCGGAAGGATTACCTACTCCTCCATAATAATTCCAACGAAGAATACCATCAATACTAGTGTTCTGGCGTGGGTTTCCTGTCATTTGCGTAAACATCCAGTCAAGAATTTGTAATTGAGAAGCCTTTTCTACTATAAATGGCCAGTCATACTGGGAACCATTATATGTAAGTTCGATATCAGGAGCTAATCCCCGCCAACATAATGCAAATGCCTTTAGTAAATTCGTCTGATTTCCACAAACAATTGTGATCCAAACTGGATCTGGTGCAATTTCTACATCGACAAGACAAACCTGTTTCAGTGGTTTCGGATCATCTTTCCAATGGACAGTCATACAAATCATAAATATACTATCTTCTTTATATTTCGCTTTAGGTACATGCTCTAATCCACGTGTTGTATATATTTCTATATCCCAGGTAAGAACTAATGTCCGATCATGAAGAATGGCTGAAGAAGGGTAAGTTTTATATAATTTCGAAGGATCTTCCACGGTGTTAAAATTATTAATAGATGTATAGAAAGCATGTGAACAAAGATGAGAACGTCCTTTGTAGGGTAGTCTACTATTATTATACTCGTAGTTGTTTATTAAAGCCCATCCAGAAAGTGAAATTCTATATTCGCGAGCAACTTTACGATAATATGCGCTTTTGTCATCTGAGGCGGTTTCCAATTTGTGTTTATCAACATCGGAATTCTCGATTTCTAAATTGTATTTTATAATAATATTCAGAGCGATTTTTCTTTGAAAAGTGGTGGTTGTGTAAATTCGAAGATACGACTTTTTTTCTGCATGGTAACCACAAATAGGGAATGCTTTTACGTGCTCTATCCGAATTTTACTTGTGTCTACAGTTTCTCCTTCATCATCTTTACCATTTCTAAATGTATCCTTTATTTCAGTCTTGAATACATCAATAGTTTTATCATCGGGAATACGGATATCAAAGAATACTTTAATACCGGTTATTGTTACAACTGCTTTCTGGCCATTAATGAGAGAGCCATATAAACGTAAAACGTAATGAGGGATATTGTTTATATATCCATTGGATTCTTCAACATCAACCGGCATAAATGGTATATCTTCTTGCTTAGCCAAAGCTTGTTTAAGAATTGCTGTTAAACCGTCATCATTTTCTGCAACTATTTCATTACGGGTGGGTAAACCTGGTAAATAATCCTCTCCATTGTATCGAAATACCTGACCTGCTTTTTTACTTTCCGAGATATGTAATTCACAATGGACGCCGTTTTCTGTGCCGTTGTTTTGGGTTTCTGCGTTCATGTTGAGTTTACTTTTATTATTTCGAAAGTATAACTTATATTAATTTGAAAGTATAATATATGTTATAATAAAGTTCAAATTAAAATTATTTATTTAGAATTATTAGTGTTAGACATAAAATATACACATTAATAGTGAAACTAGATCCGCTAAAAAATCGTATTATAAAATTTTTAGGTATGGCATTTTATCGTTGTCCTTATATTCTTAGAACTGGCGGGGAATGTAACTGGGGATGTTATCATCCAAAGGGATGTAAAGTTAATAGGAATTCCCCTGCATATCTACCTTGCTCAGAATGTGGCGAAAGAGCTTATTCTGATTATGGTTTTTGTACAGATCATTCTGGGAAGTATCGAGTCAGAGATCATTATCACCGGAAAAAGCTAACAAAACTGGCTCAGAATGAATTTGAAATAAAAGAGAATCCGTCCTAGAAAATGTCACCAAAGATCTTTGGTGACGGATTTACAAAATTTTTAGTGACACTTATATTATACTTATTGGAACTTTGAGAACGAAAGAAACTGTTCTCGACTAGTGTCACCAAAGTCACCAAAGTCACTAAAAAATTTTCGGCACTTCCAGCTTTTTATTTTTATTTTTTTTTATTCAAAAATTTTTCGTCGCTTTCATCTTTTTATTTTTATTTTTTTATTAGGTATATCATATACCATAGAAAAGAGTTTCGTTTTTTTTTTCCTATAATATCTTCTTTATTTTTAGTGATTTTGGTGACAGATATAAAGAAGATAATAAAACAACTTAAAACTTAGAATTCCGATAGAGAATGTGTCACCAAAGATGTCATCAAAGATGATATGTCACCAAAGATTTTTCAATGACAAGAAAAAAACGCCACTAACACCTTTCCAAGAGTGGTACTTATAGGTGACCGTCCACACATGTTGACGATGGCCACAAATGTTACATAGCGGAGTCTGAAAATGCAGAAATTAGACGCCTACTAAAATATATACTCCGTTCATCAACCCGCAATCAATACCGGGCATATATTTTTTTCATCCAAATGCTGGCACAAACGTGGCCAATTTTTCGAACCAGACTACCTTCGAGTGTGGCCGGGATGTGCTTAGCATGTAGTGGTAATAATCGGAAGCCAAACGTGGTCAATAGCGTCACCAAAAGTCCATCGTTATGGACGTCCATAACGATCACTAAAAATTACGACGAATCCATAAACCAATCGTAACCCAAAGCGGGGCCCAAAAATAACGACGAATTCATAAACCAATCGTAATACAAATCGGGACCCAAAGCGGGAATCGAAGTCGGCGCAGTGGTTTAAAAATATGGGAAAAAATAAAAAAGCCAGACAAGTGGTTGAAATTACGAATCAAACTCAAATCAGCCATTACCCCAAGTCGCATGTCGGACGGCATAACCTGCGTAATAACAATGCCATAACCTACAAAAAGTACGACGCAAATGCAAACCAATCGTTCTTCCAGGTACGACGCATCCGCGAACTCGTCGTACTTCAAAGTGGGTATAACCTAATTGTATAACCTAGACCAAGTGGGTATAACATAATTATGTTATACCCACTCCAGTATTATTTCCATGTTCTGTCATTCGAGCTAGGTACCAATGTAATGCAGCTTCTTTCATTCCAGTACTAGCATAGTAGCAACGAATTGCAACATCATTAATTCCTTGAGCAGCAAAAATTGTTTCAGCTTGCATTAACCATGTAGCTACATTCTCTTTGGTTTCTCCTTTAAAAATCGGAATTTGTACTGCAATCCTAGGTGGTGTATTTCCGCCTTGTTGATTACCAAGTTGTTGAGTGAGTTGTCCTAATGCTGCTATTAATTGATTGAATTGAGTGGCATCCATTGTTGTTACTTGTTGTTCTAGATTATTTGTAATAGGTTGGTTAGTAAATTGGTTGTTTGATCCTATGACTGGCGTTGTATTTAATTGTGTAGTTGGTTGTTGGACCCTTCTTCTTTGTTGATTTAAAATGTCAGATTCGTCTAATTCTCTTCCTGGTTGTGATGTAGAAATAGTAGAGTTTTCTTCTTGAGAGTTTTCTTCGTCAGAGTCACTGTCAGTGTTGTTTTCCCTAAATATATTATAAAAGTTACTCATACAGAGTTGTTAGAAGTGTGTGTGTAAAAGTGTGTGTGTAAAATTATGTGTGTGTAAAAGTATGTGTGTGTAAAAGTATGTGTGTGTATATAATTTCCGCTGCTACCAACTTGTAAGGAAACCCTTTTTCCTTACGTCAAAATACTATATAATGGTTTTAATTATTAAAAAAAATACAAGTTATACAAGTTATTCTTTATTAATTACGGAAAGCTTATCTTTTTATACAAAAATGCATAATATAATATTACAATTAAATAAATAAAAATAATATCTTAGAACTTCCCGGAAAGCCGCAGCACTTAATTTGTAACTCATATACATAAGAAAATAATATAAATAATAATAATATAAGTAATATAAATAATAAATAATATAAATAATAAGTAATATGACGATAATATATATAAATAAAGTTGTAACGTTTCGTTTTAATTTAACGCGTTACGCGAAATAAATTTTGTATTACTGTGCCACATTTCATATTCGCAATTAATGAAAAAGAACTGTTACAGCATGAGAACTTTATGCAATGTAAAAATTATAATAAAATAAGTAAAAAGAAAAGTACAATTTATAATATTACAACCAAAAATTAAAGTAATAAATGAAGCTATCAAAGAGCTAAAGAGCAAATACAGCCTTATTTATTATTTAAAATAAAACAAAGATCAATCAGCAGTTAATATGTTTTCAAAAACAATGATATTGGCTTTAATAATAGTAATGATGAAAATACTTACTTTCTATTTATTATTTAAAATAAATGGGAATCAATCAAACAGTTAATATGTAATGATAAATGTAGCCTACTCTAACTAATTGTCATCTCACTGTGGATGTTATGCCCTATAAAAATAAAACACAGAATTTCTCTATGTTTTATAAAAATAAATACTAATATGGAATTATATACAATCTGAAAATTTCTCCATTTTTTAATATAATAAGAAGTATGGAATAGGTACGGAATATGTAACTTTAAAGAGATAACAAAGACATGCTCACCTAGGATCTTGGTAGTGAATTATTTCTCTTCCAATTTCCTTTTCTTTCTAAATTCTTCATGATTTTGTGGCAAAGTTCTTTTGATTTTTCTTTCTTGGTAAATTTCATAGGTAATCTATTCTTTTCTTAGATAAGCTTCAAGTGTTGAGTATCATTTATTTTGAAAATATAAGAAACAATTTTTTCACCTTGTTCCTTTTTTAAAATACTTCTGATAGTATTATAATTCTTGGATTCCATAGTAAATGAGTTTCATATTAACTAATTTTATGCAGGGATAGTTCTATATATCACTTAAGATAACAAATTGTATATTAATTACTAAATTTTGATCCCTGGAATTCTTGGTAATACCAATTTTCATGCCCCAAATGTGAGATATCAGAATTAAAAAAGCAATTAGGTACTTCATATGATCACATAGACAAAATTCAGAATCTATATAATGAAGAACTCAACAAAAATAAATATCTCATTGAACAATTGGATTCACATTTCAAAAACATATAGAAGCCGTAAAAAAAATTGCACATGCTGAATGTGAATCAGTTTACAGTGACATCAATTTATTAATTAACAATAGCAATATATTTACATTAGGAAATTTTATGAAATACACACCTCAAGCTTTGTTAAATCAACATATCAAGTTATTGTGAAGTTCATTGAGACTTTAACTCAGAATAGTTATGAAACTTAAACCAAGGAAATTTTTTAAAAGGGTTGTTGCAGTTTATGCAATATATGGGTCACACCATGAGTAAGGTTGTGGGTGAAACCTCTTAATGACTGTCGAAACTCTGTCGAAACTCTAATGAACAATTAATGTGTAACCTGT